GTGTGGCCCAGCTGCGGGTGGCTGGAGGGTTCTCTGGGGGGCTGGGACTCACTGCTACAAACAGCCTCCTGCTGGCTAATGCATCCCGGCCCTGCCGCAAAACCTCTGCATTCTCTCCGCGCCCTTCTGCTCCTCGGCCTGCTGGCGGCTCCGCTCGCCCTGGTTCCAGCATTTCCGGAGCCAGATCCCAGGCCCTTTCCCAGCAGACTGTGGCTGAGCTCCCCCATCCCAGGGCTGGCGGGGGCCGGGTTCGTATTAACCCTTCAGGGGCAGGCGGGATTCTCTGCCCCCTTGGCTCCCACGGGGATACTCGGAGCAGGGCTCCCCTTGCAATGGGCTTCTGAGCCTTCTCCGCACCGTCCTCCCGCACCCAGGGCCTGGGGAGCGCTGGCTCTGCCGGCTGCGCGCCGCTTTGACTCCTCACTCCACTGCTGGAGCCAGCCCAGGAGGGCTCAGCCCTCACAGCTCTGGGGATGGGAGGCCTGCTGCCAAGGGGGTCCCTGCGCGGGGGCAGCGCCCCCCAAGAGGCCCGACAGGCTCAGTGCAGCGAGAGCAGCGAGGAGCCAGGATCTCTCGCGGCCAGCCCTGAGCGGGCCCCGGGGACTGTGGAGGTGGCGTTCCACTCCGAGCGCTGGAGCCAGCCCAGGAGGGCTCAGCCCTCACAGCTCTGGGGATGGGAGGCCTGCTGCCAAGGGGGTCCCTGCGCGGGGGCAGCGCCCCCCAAGAGGCCCGACAGGCTCAGTGCAGCGAGAGCAGCGAGGAGCCAGGATCTCTCGCGGCCAGCCCTGAGCGGGCCCCGGGGACTGTGGAGGTGGCGTTCCACTCCGAGCTCGGAGCCGGGCAGGCTGGAAAGCTCTGGTGTGGGCAGATCAGCCCGCCTGAGCAGGGTGGCACCAAAGTGCAGCTCCGGCGCCAGCCCCCGGGTGACTGCGGTTGCTGTGCAACCGGCCCCTGGCCTGCTGGGCTCCCCCTGTGTGGAGCCCGTCGAGTTCGAACCCTGAGAACAAGCGTGCAGCGGGGACGCGGCGTAAGCGGCGGGGTGGGAGCAGCCTGGCAGACAGCTCACGCGCTGCCTTTGATGGGAAGGGCTGTGCCTCTCTGGGCACCGCGGTGGCAGGACACAGCGGAAGGGGAGCAGATGCTACTAATCCCCCCCGGGAATTGCACAATGCTCTGCCTGCCGTGGTAGCCTGTGAGTCTCACGCTCGATGCAGAACATGGGTTAGGCAACACTACGGGATTTTTGAGAAAAGGAAAAAAAGGGCACGGAGCAGAGCATTGTCCCACAGGGACAGACGGCTCTGAGTCCCGCACTGTTTGTGCAAATCGCTCTGTGCTGAGTCCCGCACTGTTCGTGCAAATCGCGCCGTGCTGAGTTATGCACTGTTCGTGCAAATCGCACCATGCTGAGTCACGCACTGTTCATGCAAATCGCGCCGTGCTGAGTTACGCACTGTTCGTGCAAATCGCGCCGTGCTGAGTTACGCACTGTTCGTGCAAATCGCGCCGTGCTGAGTTACGCACTGTTCGTGCAAATCGCGCCGTGCTGAGTTACGCACTGTTCGTGCAAATCGCGCCGTGCTGAGTTACGCACTGTTCGTGCAAATCGCGCCGTGCTGAGTTACGCACTGTTCGTGCAAATCGCGCCGTGCTGAGTTACGCACTGTTCGTGCAAATCGCGCCGTGCTGAGTTACGCACTGTTCGTGCAAATCGCGCCGTGCTGAGTTACGCACTGTTCGTGCAAATCGCGCCGTGCTGAGTTACGCACTGTTCGTGCAAATTGCGCCATGCTGAGTTACGCACTGTTCGTGCAAATCGCGCCATGCTGAGTCACGCACTGTTCATGCAAATCGCTCCGTGCTGAGTCACGCACTGTTCGTGCAAATCGCCCCGTGCTGAGTCACGCACTGTTTGTGCAAATCGCTCTGCACTTCGGGGGAAGGCCCTGGGCAGCGCATGCCCGGGGGGTGCACGGCCCTCCCAGCGAGCTGGCCCCTGCACACGGCCTGGCTGGCCCAGTCAGCGCACGCGGCCATGAGCGGGTATTGCTAGTGCAGGCCAGGCCCCACTGCCCTCTCAGCAGCCCCCAGGCTGCAGCTGCTGCACAGGGCCGGCGTGTCCCTGGGAGCCACCGCTGGGCACTGGAGGCCTCTCCGCTCCCCAGGCGGGACAGGGGGCTGATGCCTGGGACACGGCCCAGGATGTCCCAGGGGCTGAGGCCGGCGCTGTGTAAAACACGGGCTGCGAGTGCCCTCTGGTGGCCAGCGCGGGCAGTGAGCCGGCCGGAGGGGAGAGGCAGCTGCAGGCTGCGGGCAGCTCTTCCCCTCCGGCCCAGAGTCCTTATGCCCTTGTGCCAACCGACCAGCACAACTGCGCCGGCCACAGGCGCATCCCCCGAAGGAGCAGGCCCGGCCCCTCCTCTCCGACCGCGGCGCCGATCCAAGAGCCAGTCTACCCCTCCCAGCTTTGTATCATCTGCAAACTTAGGACTACATCTAGACGGCAGGCTTCTTTCAGAAGAGGTTTTTCCAGAAGAGATCTTCCGAAAAAACTTCTTCCAAAAGAGAGCGTCCACGCTGCCAAAGTGCATCCAAAAAGCGATCTGCTTTTTCAACAGATAACGTCCACACTGAACGGACACTCTCGCATGTCAGCTGTGATTGCTGTGGACGGAGCGGCCACCAGGGCCACCAAAAGAACTCCCTCTTCTCCGTCCACTCATGCCTTTTGGTGAAAACGCTCTTTTGCAAAAAGGCTTCTTCCTCCTAGAATGAGGGTTACCGATGTCAGAAAACCCCTCTGTTCTGTCCATTTTCTTGCAGAAGAACGCAATTGCAGTGTGGACGTTCCTCGAGTTTTGTCATAAAAACGGCCGTTTTCCGGACAAAACTCTGTAGTGTAGACATACCCTAATAAGTGTCCTTTCTATGCCAATATCTAAATAATTGATAAAGATATTGAACAGAACCAACCCCAAAAAAGCTTTGGGGACTTCAAAACTTCTTGAGCAATGGGGACCTCAAAAAAACAGACCAGAAGGTTTTGTGCTGGTTCCGGATTTCGTCTGCAAAAATGGCCAGAGCGGACGGGGGAAGCCCAGGGTCAGACAGAAGGCAGGGAGAAGAACAGAGTCAGGAGGCCGAGCTCGTTGGTAGCAGAGCTGCACAGATATTTATTGAATACAAACAGCGGCAAACACAGCAGGCTCATGGAGATTTGAGCTTCCTGAGCTAAGTCCAAAATTCACTGAGGGCTACGGTCTTAAGAATACTTCCAGAGGTGCCCATGGCTTTGGATTCCGTACCCTGAAGCCCCGCCCTCCCCCCTCCCCCCCGATTATTTCTTAGTTAAAAAGTGAGACTGACTTTTTTCTTCTTTCGTTAGTAATAAAAATGGCTTGTTTGGACCCTGCCGTGTTGGAGCGAACGTATTCTGTGTGGGACCAACGGGGACTGGGAGGTGCGCATCCTGCTCCAGACGCACATGGGGTAAACCATGCCACATTCTCCAGACATGGATTCAGGGGCGGGCAGGGAGCCGGGAGGAGCAAAATGAAGAGTGGACGTTTCAATGGGGTCGTGGTGAGAAGAGTATTTCAAAGCAAGCACAGCTCTAGCTGGCAGCGCAAACCCTACCCTACAGGGAGTGCTGCTAAAACGGCAAAAGAAAACGCTCCAATGGCTACGCTACGCTGACACCAGAGACCGAGCCTTCTTCTGAAGTCTCACCAATGGAACCCCCGAAAGGCCAGTACAATACTAAACCTGCAGTCTGGAAACATGGACAGGCCTGGGGCCGGAACTAAATGCCTCGGGAGCAGTGTCGGGAGCACAGCACGGAATGCATAACGAAACGAGGCGAGTGTGTGTGTGTGTGTGTGTGTGCATGTGCTCATAATGAAACAGGGAGAGTGTGTGTGAGTGTGGGGTGAGCGTGAGTGTGAGCATAAAGAAACCGTGTGTGTGTGTGTATGCACGTGCTCATAACGAAACAGGGTGTGTGGGTGGGGGTGAGTGTGAGTGTATGTGTGTGTGTGTGTGTGCATGTGTGCGCACGTGCTCATAATGAAACGGGGTGTGTGAGTGTGTGTGCGTGTGCTTAAAGAAACTGTGTGAGTGTGCGTGCGCATAAAGAAACTGTGTGCGTGTGTGCACGTGTGCATAAAGAAACAGTGTGTGCGCCGTGTGTGCACGTGCACATAAAGAAACAGTGTGTGTGCGCATGTGTGCGCGTTTGCACATAAACAGTGTGTGTGTGCGTGTGCATAAAGAAACTGTGTGTGTGTGTGAGTGTGTGTGCGCGCATAAAGAAACTGTGTGTGTGTGTGTGAGTGTGTGTGCATGCACATAAAGAAACTCTATGTGTGTGCGCGCTCATAAAGAAACAGGGTGTGTGTGCGCGTGCGTGTGTGTAAAGAAAGCCGCCTGTGTGGAAGCAAAGGGAGGGCAGGAAACACACAGGTTGCATGAGCCAGGTGGCGTGCCATTGGCTCGAGAGGGCCGGGCGATGCAGGGTGGAGGCTGGTGGGTAGAGATTAGAGGGCGCCCATTCCAGTGACCTCGGACGTCAGCCTAGAGCAGACAGCGGTGCAGAGAAGGGACGGGGAGAGAGAACAAACAACAGGATTAGCCAGCAGAGAGTTTGTGGCATACTCACAAGGCCTCGTTTCCGTCGCCGCCGCCTCCTGCCTTTGCGCCAGCGTGCCCTGCCACACTCAGGGCTTTGTGCTCGAACGGGTCTGCACCGGTCTCTCGGAGCGAGTGGCCCTGCAGTGGGGGCCTACGTAGCCTCTTTGGTTTCTGTCTGTGCACTTTTGACGGGAAGTCGCCGAGTCGGACTCTGGGCGGCTGCTATGCTGGGCAGCCCGGCTTGTCATTGGTGACGACAGCTCTGAGAAGCGGGCTGGAGCCACACAGAGCACGGGAGACGGGGGACCCTGCGATCTGCTCTTTTCACATTGCCACGGGTTTCGAGAGTTGGGAGACTGGGTTATCACCGGCGGTGCGCCAGCCTAGCTCCGCCCCCCCCC